GACTATTTATGTCGGCAAAAACATCTACTCAAATGAGATGGCATGCTGAAGGTCGCACTAGAGATGGGGTAATGCGACATCCTGCAGACAGTATTGCTTGGAGGAAATTTGATGAAGCACATACAGATTTTGCTCGAGATCCTCAAAATGTTAGACTTGGATTGGCTTCAGATGGCTTTAGTCCATTTAAGTCTATGTCTATCTCACATAGCACATGGCCTGTTATCTTGATTCCATATAATTTGCCACCATGGTTGTGCATGAAACAACCATATATGATATTATCATCTATTATTGATGGTCCTCGGGCACCAGGTAATGATATTGATGTCTATCTACAACCCTTAGTTGATGAGTTAAAAGAATTGTGGGTTGGTGTTGCCACTTATGACATATCAAACAATCACATGTTTCAAATGCGTGCAACATTGCTTTGGACAATTAGTGATTTTCCAGGGTTAGGTAACTTATCAGGATATGGTGTAAAAACTAGATATGCTTTTCCATGTTGTCTTACCAAAACTAAATATAGAAGATTGAAAAATGGGCGAAAATATTGTTTCATGTCTCATAGACGATAGTTATCTCATGGACACAAGTTTTGAAAAGATAAAGTGGCATTCAATGGCCTTGTGGAGTTAGATGGAGCACCTAAATGGTTGACAGGAATTGAGATTCTTAAGCAATTGAATAATGTTAAAAACAAGTTTGGTAAAGATCTATTGGCCAAATCTCGTAAAAGGAAATGGGATGATGTTGATAATTTGGTGCAAAATATATGGAACAAAAAGAGCATATTTTTTGAGTTGGAATACTGGAAAGACAATATGATTCGTCATAATCTTGATACGATGCATATTGAAAAGAATGTCTTTGACAATATATTTTGGACATTATTGAATGTTGATGGAAAAGGAAAAGATAATTTAAACTCCCGTTTAGATTTACAAGAGATGGGGATCCGAAAAGCTTTGCATCCTAAGAAAAAGGCTAATGGAAAATATTATCTTCCTCCTGCATGTTTCACATTGAGTAACACACAAAAAGATATCCTCTTACTAGTGTTAAAAGATGTGAAAGTGCCAGACGGATATGCTTCAAATATCTCAAGTTGTGTTGATCTCAAGCAACGCACAATGCATGGGTTGAAGAGTCATGACTGTCATATTTTAATGCAACAACTCCTTCCTATTGCCTTGCAGAATCTCCTGCCAGTGAATGTACTTAAGCCATTGATTGAATTAAGTAATTTTTTTAGGGGCATTTGTTCAAAAGATCTGAAGATAGGTGACTTGGAAAAATTCCAAGATCGAGTTGCAATAACTCTATGTCATTTGGAGAGTAATATTTCCTCCATCTTTCTTTTGATATCATGGAACATCTACTTATCCATTTAGCTGAAGAAGCAATGTTGGGAGGACCTTCACAATATCGCTCAATGTGGTTTATCGAACGGTATCATTTTGTTATTTTTATATCATACTTACAAGAAATTGTATTTGTATTCTAATAATTGTCTATTTTAGGTTCTTTCTTTGTCTTAAAAAACTACGTAAGGAATAGACGTTATCCAGAAGGTGCGATTGCAGAGGGACGTTGGATAGATGAGTTAATGACGTTTTGCTCATGGTATTTAGATGACGTCGAGACTAAGTCTAATCCACCTTTAAGAATGATGTTTTATCTAATGAAACGACAGACCAAGAGGGTCATCGATCAAGTAGAGAGAAAGGATTTAAGCTTGATGACATTACACGTGCTCAAGCCCACATATATGTTTTATTTAATTCTACCTACACAACTTCATATCGTGAGTAAGTATTAAATCATAATTTATACTTAGTAATTAATTATTAAATAATTTTCTTTCAATTCTTTACTAAATAGTTATGTGTTTTACTTCTGTAGTGAACACATAAAAGAAATCAAGAAGGAAAATCCTCGTCTATTAAGACATAATGTGGATCGAATTCATAATGAAAGATTTGAACTATGGTTTAGAAATCATGTAAGTTTCAACTAGCTAAAATATTTGCTCATATATTACTATATAGGTAATTATAACTTTTAGATCACATCTTTATTTTTGAATGCTAGGTCGAGAAGATGCATATGGCTGGTGAAA